TTACCTAGATGGATAGGTCATAATAAAGATGAGGCAAAGTACTTAAAATAGTTTCTTCATGATAGCTTATGCTTTTCGCAAATGAGTCAGCTAGCCCACTAAAGAAAGCCTTGCATAATCCTTGGTGTCATTTGTTTTGGTTTTCGACGGGTAAGTCTAGCTGAGTACATTCGAGTACTCAGGGTTTATCCCACCATGTTGCTGGTGAAGTTCTTGGCCTACGGAAGATGGTGGCTAACCGCCGGTGGGCTCGGTGACTCTATATTTACTTCTCACCTATATGCTTTTATTAGAGGATGTCACTTATGCTAGCAATGTATTTGGTACTTATATTAATGTAATCATTTGAAAGCTATGTTGTTTTCTTTAATCGGTTTTAAAACCCAAACTTGTACTATTATTTGTGAACTAAATTGTAATATTATTTTCGCTGCAACTCTGCGTATGTGATGTGTATTTGCTTAATCACGCGATCTTGGTTGTGATGTTGATTTACCGAGGTCCTTCGTGATACTCGGCGGACTACTGGGTTTGTATAAGTGAAAGTATGTGCGTGTCAATGTGTTAGCGGGGACAGCCATACTTGATCTTGTATAAATTGACGGTTCTGTCACACTCCACAGGTGAATCACCTAGAGTCCAGCGGCGATCCAATATCCGCTGAGGCACCTAAAACTGGGCAAGATCATCTGGAAGAGCATTAGACACCAGCAGCTTACCATGAGAAACCTTGAGCTGTGATACATGGAAGATGGGATGGATGGATGAGGAAGAAGGAAGAGCCAGCTTATAAGCTGCTGCACCAATACGCTCCAGTATCTGGTACGGGCCAAAGAACCAAAAGGCAAGCTTCTGATTAGCATGACGTGCAAGTGAAGACTGCACATAAGGCTGAACCTTCAAGAAGACCCAATCACCAATAGCAAAAGAACGTTCAGAACGGTGCTTATCGGCCTGGCGCTTCATGCGGGTCTGAGCCCGGCTAAGGTGTTGCTGAATCACTGAAGTCATCAGAGCCCGGTCATCGAGCCAAGAATTGAGATCAGCAACAGGTGTGGCAGTAGGAGGGCGAAGGACAAAATGTCGTGGAGGAAAGCCATACAATACTTCGAATGGAGATCGACCCAATGAGGAATGGTGAGAAGAATTGTACCAGAACTTAGCGAGGGGGATCCATTGAGTCCACCTGGAAGGACAGGCGTGGGTGAAACAGCGGAGGTATGTTTCAAGACACTGATTAACACGCTCCATCTAGCCGTCCGTCTATGGGTGATAAGCGGAACTCATACGCAAGGTTGTGCCCGCAATGCTGAAAAGAGTCTTCCAAAAGGCACTGGTAAAAATGCGGTCACGATCCAATATGATGGCTAACGGCATTCCATGAAGCCGATAGATGTGATCCATGAAGAGGCGAGCCACCATAGCTGCTATAAATGGATGGCGCAAAGGAATAAAATGAGCAAACTTTGATAGCTTGTCGACCACCACCAAGAGTGCATTGGCTGAGCCGGATGGTGGAAGTCCTATGAAATCCATGCTGATGACGTCCCAGGTGGTGAAGGAATTGGGAGGGGTTGAAGTAATCCTGGAGAACGAGAACGGTCAGGCTTGGCGCGTTGATAGATATAACAAGCTCTGATAAAATGTGTTGTGGCTGCATGCATGCCAGGCCAAAAGAAGAGCTGTCGCAACTTCTAATAAGTAACTGGTATGCCGGAGTGACCGCCGATTGGGCTAGAATGCAGAGCTTCTAGCACTTGAGTCTAGAGTTGCTCACTGTGGCCCAGCCACATACGACCTTTGTAACGGATAACTCCATTGTTTAGCGAATAATGTGGTAATGCAGCCGGATTAACTGCCAGCTAAGACAAAATCTGCTGAGCCAGTGGACTGTCAGAATAAGAGCTGGCCACGTCGGACAACCATTGTGGTGAAGAAGAAGAAACTGCCATGTAGACATCCTTAGTATCTCGGCGCGATAATGCATCAGCGACGCTGTTATCCGAACCCCTCTTATACACAATCTTATAACTCAAGCCAAGCAATTTGGTAAAAACTTTCTGTTGCCAGACCGTATGAAGACGCTGCTCATTGAGATGGATGAGACTTCGGTGGTCAGTGTGGATGAAGAATTCACCTTGGATGAGATAGTGATGCCAGTGCTCAACCGCTAGGAGGATTGCCAGGTACTCCTTCTCATAAGCGGACAACCCACGATTATGAGGGCATAAGGTCTTACTGATGAAGGCAATGGGATGCCCATCCTGGTGAAGCACGGCGCCAATACCAACCCCACTGGCGTCTGTATCAATGTGAAAAGGCCGCTGAAAGTTAGGAAGCATCAGGACTGGAGCAGTGCTCAAGGCGGACTGAAGAGCAGTAAAAGCCTCCTGCTGTGAAGATGTCCAAACGAAGGGTGCATCCTTCTTGAGAAGCTCAGTCAAGGGTTGTGCAATGATGCCAAAATGTCGGACGAATTTGTGGTAGTAACCCGCAAGGCCCAAGAATCCGCAAAGGGCGCGAACTGTTGTAGGTCTTGACCAGTCTCTGATAGCCTACACTTTGGAAGGGTCTGTAGCGACGCCATCGGAGCTGAGCACATGCCCAAGGTAGGCGACTGATCGTTGAGCAAAAGAGCACTTGGATAATTTCAGTTTCCATGAATCCTGGCGAAGCCATGATAGCACCTGGGAAAGATGATCGATGTGCTCGGCCAAAGTGTGGCTGTAAATTAAGATGTCATCGAAAAAGACGAGGACAAATTTGCACAACCCAGGAGCCAGTGTGCAATTCATCGCCCCTTGAAAAGTACCTGGTGCCCCGGTCAATCCAAAGGCCATAACACGGAACTCATAGTGCCCCAAGTGGGTCTGGAATGCTGTCTTGTGTTCGTCTCCAGGCTGCAGCAAAATCTGGTGGAATTCGGCTCTCAGATCAAGCTTGGTGAACCAACTGGCATGAATCAATTCGTCCAGGAGCTGATCAATGTCAGGAACTGGATACTTGGACTTAACAGTCATAGAGTTCAACTTTCGGAAATCAACGCTGAACCGATATGAGAGATCTTTCTTCTTCACTAAGAGGACTGGTGAAGAAAACATGCTGCTACTGGGTTGAATAAGCCCTTGTGACAGCATCTCATGGACTTGGCGTTCAATCTCATCCTTAAGTGCTGGAGGATAACAATAAAGATGGATGTAGAAGGGTCGGGAACCAGGAATGAGGGGAATTGAATGGTTGCAGGGGTGAGAAGGCGGTAAGGAGTCTGGAGCTTGAAACAAGTCAGTGAACTCATCCAGGAGGGACTGTATAGCAGTAGGAATACCGGCGGATGAGAAGGTGTCAGGTGTACTCTCCAGACTGTAGACTTGTAAGAGCAACTTGCTCGGAGCATCCACGAACTCGCCCTGCAATAGAACAGTGTCGCCCTCATAAGGTATGACTATCCATTTAAGTTGCCAGTGGATTTGCATAGGACTGAAGGATTCTAGCCAATCCATCCCAATAATCATACAAATGCAATTAGTGGAAGAACCCGAAGGTCAGAGGTGAAAGAGACTTGGCCGATAGACCACTGAACAGCAAGCAGAATAACTGCACCTGTGAGAGTACCACCAGCAGCAATACGAACTTGGCACGAAGACCGCTTGGCAGACACCTGGCTAAGCTGAGCTGCCACAAACTCACTGATGAAGGAGGTTGAACTGCCGGAATCGAGCAAGATATGCACTAGAAGGCCCTGAACTGTGCCTAAAAACTGAATGGTGTGAGGAGCAGAACTACCAGTAAGAGCACATTGAGAAAGAGCCAAGAAAACCTAAGGTTCAGTATCGACAGGGGTAACTGTATCTGCTGTGGAGTCCTCATCTTGAAGGAGATCCCACAATTCCTTCACAACATGGAGCTGGACCTGAGGATTACACTTGTGGTCCTTGCTCTACTTGGTGCCACACTTGTAACAGAGACCCATGGCGCGGCGATATGTTTTGACGGTGGCCAACTTAGCATCAACATACATCATAGCTGGGGTTGGTATTGCTGTAGTAGGGGTTGGCTGCTTGTCAGGCCACGGTGGAAGCGGCAATGGCAGCGCATCTTTGGGGATAAATTTGTTGGACGATGTCCAATCAATCTGGGATGACGACGCAGAGACGTCGGCACCATGGCCACCTCCTCCTGCACCAATGCCATAGAAATAGCAGCATCCAAGCTTTTGGGTTTGGAAACAAGAATAATTGCTTTCAGCTCAGGTCAGAGTCCATCAACGAAGCACGTAGTATAAAAGAGTGGATCGACGGTAGCAGAATAGGCCTTGAGCTGATCAACAAGTTTGGTGAAACGCTCAACATAATCGGTGACAGTAGAGGTTTGTTTAATTTGGAAGAGCTGGCGGATGAAGGCTTCATGTTGGTCACGATCAAAACGATCATGGAGAGATTGACAGAAGGTTGTCCATGTAGCGATGGCTGGTGTGTTGTCGATGGACTCATACCAGCAAGCAGCATTGCCCTCCAAATACATGGAAGCAACGCTGACCCAGAGAGACGGATCAACTATGTTCATGTGAAAGTATTTCTTGCAATTGGAATGCCAGAGGCGGGGATTCTCACCATTGAATTTGTTGAAGGGAAGTTTAGGAAGGCGACCGATAGTATGATGAGGAAGATTGTTTGGGAAGGAGCTTGGAACCGAGGGGATGGAAATGGTGGACGAGGTGGAATTGTGAGCGAAGGTGGGGAACGGTAATGAAGGGGAAGAGGACTATGTAGAGCGGATGAAATAGGCAGAGGAGGAGGAGGATCTGGAGGCTTACCCGTGACCGGGACATTAGTCCAGGTCATGACTGACCCAAACCCAACGTCCCGATGAGACGATGCAGTGACGTGCCCACTGGGTGATTCGACGGGTGCGCCGGCGAGAGCACGGGCGGACGTTGAGGAGGAAGGAATGACGACGCTGGGCCACTACGGCTGGGCGTCGAACACCTTGCGGTCAGGAGCCTAGGAGAGCTTCTTCACCTCGAGCTTCAGATCATCCACGAGGGCCTCGATCTCCGGGCGCCAGGTACTGAGATCCGTGGTGGTGACCTCGAGAGCTGTGATGCGGTCGGAGCCATCGGTGAGGAGTTTACCACCGCGAGAGATCTTCCAGATCGGCGACCCGCTTGTCGATGTCGAAGGTGAGGTCGGGCATGTGGACTCTAGGGCGTCAAAGTGCTTGTCGACGATGGCGGCGTGGTCGGCGCGGGCGCGGTCGAGATTGGCGAACCGACCCATCCACTGCTCGTCGTGTGCGTCGAATCGGCAATTGAAATCCTCCTTGGACTTCTGGATCTCGTTGAGGATGACCTTGAGTTGGGGATCCATGGCGCCCAAGGTGCGACGGAATCTGGTGAAGTGGTTGTGGTGGATTTGGTGAGGTTCTAGCTCGTCCGTGGTGCGGATCGAACTGGGAGATGGAGCAGGATCGAGGAAGGCGAAATCTGATACCAATTGTCAGCAGTGGGGATCGCTTGCTCAGGAAGAACGGAATCTGGAATACTCGACTGGAAATTTGATGTATTGAATATAATTTGCAGGAAGTAGCATATAAGTGCTTAACATAGGAGTACTTGAACAGTAATGAACACGATACATTCCAGTCTGATCTCCCCCCTCCTCTCATACGCTAGTCTTATACTAATATGTCTAAGCCCTCCATTCTAGGCCGGGCAGCCTGACGTTGGGCCGGCGCTCACGGACGGGCCGGGCCTGCTCACTCGTGGAAGGTTTCATCGTATTGTATCTCCGGAGCCATAGAAGGAGTGCGGACATAGAGGAACACTGATTTGTTCTGCTAGACCGTGCGCGTGTCACTCGCGGGGTGCACCGTGCGTCCGTACGTGCCCCGGGCCGCCCTGCTGCTCGATCCTTTTCTACACGTGAGTGACGTGACGGTCCCCGTCGAGCGGTCCACAAGTCTAAAGATATGATTTGGTGCGGCCACGGCGTGGCCTCAGGGTGGCCACGTCGCCGGCTTTTCGCGGCCGTTCGATCGGCCGCGCGGACGGCCCAGATCGAGCGAGCCGTGGTCGTTTTACGAAAAACCCCTTTAAGTTTTCGGAAATCAACCCGCGCTCCAGACGTCCTCTCAGAAATTTTTACAAAAAACGCCTCGTATTATTTCCAAATCAATGCTCAGTCCAGACCGAATGGACACTGGTTTGTTTGCAAAAAAGACCTCCACTTTATCGAAAATCAACTCGCGCTCCCTAGACACTCTCACCGTTTTTTGCGAAAACATCCTCAGATTTTTCTCAAATCAAAATACAGCCCAACTTTGATTATCTTTTTTTTCTCAAAAAAAATACGTGTGGCCAGTGGACCGCGCGTATGGGCGCGCCCGAAAAACTAGTATATATGTATATAAACTGCGTACTTCCTCCGGTTCTCTAAAGCAAGTCGTTTTGGACATCGACACGATCTTTAAGAAACGACTTTGACTGCAACTTTTTGTTATAAAATATTTATAAAATATAGTCAATATATACTTTTATGAAACTACATTTCGAGATGAATCTACTTACATCGCTTTCATATTTTTAAACTCAACCCAAAAGAAGTTATTTGTAGTCAAAGTTTAAAATATTTGACTTAAAACAACCTTAAAACGACTTGTTTTAGAGAACCGGAGGGAATACGCATGTACGCTTTGGTCCAACGACGGGTAGGAGTAATGCCATGCACATGTTAATTTTCCACTCTCTTGCGCTCACACACAGCTTATGCGTAATACACTCAAGGTAACAAATTAACTATAAAAAGCCACAATCCACTCTCTTTTTACTTCTCTCATTTCACATTTTTTATTATTTCCTCGCATGTAACAAAAGCTAGCTAGCCACCTCACCGCTACATCAATTACCACTTTTATCGCACTTTGTCTTCTTGCTACACCTTTTGCCAACAATGCAAATTGACCTACAATATTCTAATTTACGAAACACGTGACAATGAGAAGTCAGGTCATCATGAGATCAATCATCATCAACTAACCAGTAACACGTGTATACTAACATCTGCCAAATTATTAGCTCCTAAAAAAAGTATGACGATTGACGACTCAATTTACCATATAATCATCATATTGTTTTTGAAAAACTCATATTAGGTCCCGCTATTTCATCTTAATTTGGATTGTGGATTGTGGCTTTTTATAGCCAGAAGCTGTAATAACACAAGCAGTTTTTTTTACCCCTAGGCCCTAGCATAGTAGCATCTGCCATTGCCTGTAAGGCTAACATGTAGGACTTGCACTATGTGAAAAACAGTCATATCTACCGGCGATTCCTACCTACGCTAGACAAACGCGAGTATGGGATATGAGTTTACAGACGCGTGTTCCCAACAAAGGTACGTAGTAAGTCGTCGATCAGGGTCGCTAGTTAGGCAGGGTCCACACGCGTCTATAATAAGCCCTTATTGCAGACACGTTATTATAGACGCACCAAAGCACGTCTGTGATGACTTGAACAGCGTCAGCATGATATATTTCTTCTAGCAGAAAGTCAAAGTCTCAAAGCCCACATACATATATATCCACACTTTTGAGTTAGAGATCGATGAGGTCATGGCGCGCGGCTGCATTCTTCGTGTAGATTTTATCAAATTAAAGAGCAAAATACTTATTCGCTGCTAATAAGTTTGTTTATACGTGCACGATTACGTGCATGCATGCAGACGTTGACCTGCTACTGTGTCGATACCGTCCATGAGACGATGAATGCATCGATCAAAGGTCAGTTGCACTGTGGCGATGCACATTGGTGTCAGCAGATTGGCCTTATACTCATTGGTGTCGATACCGTCCATGAGTATATTAGTACGTACGGAGTACTGTATGAGCACAAGGCACATGCAAGCTTGTAAGTCGTGTCAAACTGTCAATGCATGGGTCATCCGTTACCTCTGGTGACCATGCATAGACCAAGCAAGCAATATCAATCAAGTTGCAATACTCTACGACATATATATATATATGTTATTAGACTTGTTGTCTACTAACTTAAAAAGTAATAGCCATCAACAGAGATTTATTTGAGTTTGAAAGCCCAACAGCAGCCCACAACAACACACAAACTAGTAGTATATGATATATATATCTCATCAACAAATTGATCAAGCAATTGTATGCCGCTCATCAGAGAGGGAGCAGGCAGGCAACAGCAATCATTAAGCTGCGATGCACACCACACCAAGCTAGTGAACTGTTTTTTTCTCAACCATTTAAGAATCATTGTAGGCCCTGTTCGCTTATCTTATAATCCGTCTTTTTTAGCTTATTTTTTCAACCGGAATCGTGTTTTTCTTTCCCAACAAATTAGCTGGAACAGTGTTTCGGCTTGTTTTTTCAACGAAGCGAATGAGCCTTATTGTTATGTGACCATGACAGTTACTGGTGGTGTCCTTATTGTTATTATATATTCCCGCCATACAGTCCCCAATCACATAAGGGGAAATCAGAAGGAGACGAAGCATGGGTGAGTAAGGCAGTAGCATTCTAAGAAAAGCAACCCTGATTTTCTTCGCTGGAGACAATCATGCCAGGACACCTTCGCCGTGGTTCCCCACACTGACACGCACCACATGTCTAGCCTAGGCGCCTAGCTAATTGAAAACACGAAAATTACAGTAGTAGAAATTCATGGGAAGCTTCTAACAGTAATTAATCACTGATCGATCATGAACGAACAACTGGGATAAAGGAGGTGCAACAACAATCCTGTACAAAAATGCGTCCGTCTCCGTCCGTCCGTCCTGAGATAGATTTTCGTTTGCCCCTTGCGGTACGTGATCTGATGAAGTGTTGGACCTAGTTTCCACGGATCTCGGGCCCGTGCTCCCGTGAATTTTTTTGGTCGTTGTTACATGTAGTCGCTCACGTCAAGGAGCTCAGACAGCTGCATGTAGAACAGCGCGGCGGCGGCGGCGTCGTTGCTCGTGCTCGCGCTCGCGCCCGCGCCGCCGTACGTCGTGGCGGTGGAGGTGGTGGAGTGATTCAACCGCGCCACCGGGCTGGACGACGGTGTGGACACGCCGGAGCCGACGTTGTTGTTGTTGCTGCTGCTTGTCACCGTGCTGCTCCACTGCTGCAGGTTCGACGCGTCGGGCTGCTGCACCATCTGCATCAGCGCCGGGACGTCCAGGCTGTCGACCTCGTAGCCCGAAGGCGGCTGCATGCTGTGGCAAGCCGCCGCGGCCATGTCCTGGGGCTGGTGTTGCGCGGCCGCGAGCTGCTGCTGCACCGTCGGGTTCGAGTTCGCGTGGACCAGGTCCGGCATTATTTGGCACGTGGCTCCGCCCTGCTGCTGCATGAAGTGTTCGGCCTGCGGCGGCGGCGGCGCCACCTGTTGCGCCATGGCAACGGCCGCCTGCTGCGCCATCTGCGCCTGCAGAATCCACGGCAGGAGCTGGTTCTGGTGGTCGCCGATCGCGGGCGCGGCCGGGCCGGAGGAGAGCAGGGTGGAGGCGAGGCGGAGGAGGTCCGGGTAGTTGGCGAGCGGCTCCAAGGCGCGGAGCGTGTCGAGGTCGGCCTGCGTGGGGTAGTAGGCGGCGGCGGCGGGCTTGAGGAGCGCGGAGAGGTCGAGGAGGTCGAGGCGCGGCGCGTGGGTGACGGGGTCGATGCCCATGCGCAGCAGGCGCTTGCGGATGTGCGTGTTCCAGTAGTTCTTGATCTCGTTGTCCGTCCGCCCGGGCAGCCGCGCCGCGATCGCTGACCACCTAACCACCATCAGTGTAGCCAATCACGCATCAGAAACCGTACTGCGCCTAGCTAGCTACTACTCCTACTCCTACGAGTAGTAGAGCAGAAACAGCGAAGCTACACACAAGCCAAGCCAGGGTAGCTAGGCCAGCTAGCTACTAGCTCTCGGTGCGAGGAGAAAAGAAACAGTGTGTGCTTACTTGTTGCCGAGGATGCTGTGGAGCTGGATGATGGTCTCCTCCTCCTCGAAGGAGAAGCGGCCGCGCTTGATGTCCGGCCTAAGGTAGTTAGTCCACCGCAGCCGACAGCTCTTCCCGCACCGTGCCAGCCCTGCGTGCCATGAGAAGGATCGATGGATCGATCGGGGGTGAGGAGAGGATATGCATGGGATATATCTATGCGTATGATGAGCTGTGAGTTCCGTCGGGATCACGGTCAGGGCGCTCACCGGCATTCTTGGGGAGGGTGCGCCAGTTGCCCTGGCCGTGCTTCTTGATGTAGGCGATGAGCTTCTCGTCCTCCTCGGGCGTCCACGGCCCCTTCTTCAGCCCGCTCTTCTCGCAGCACGGCGCGCGCCCCATCGATGGCCTGGATCGACCGGTCTGCTTGCTCCAAGAACTACAACGAACCGGCAGGTAGAAGCTAGCTGCAGGCAGGCTTGGGGCGACGACGACGACGGAGGCCGTGTGGAAGGGCGAGCAAAAAAAGGCCTGGTTTGTCTCGCTGCTACACGGGCTTATCAGCTGTAGCTAGCCGCAGATCGAGCAGGACAGGCCGGCGGGAGCGTCGTTGCGTTGCGCTCCAGCTACAGCTACAGGGGTGTGAAACTGAGCTGCTCGATCGAGCTAGAAAGGAGGAGGACAGGAGATCGAGTACGAATGGGGGTGGGGTGGAAGGCTTATAAAGGGCGCGAGGGCGACGGGGGCCGTCTGGTGTGGGAAGTCAACAGGATTCGGTGCCGTCCTTTGTGTGCCGCGCCCGCGACGTGGCCGCCAGCCTCCATCCATCCGTCGCTCGCCCGGCATCGGCATCGGGCGAAAAAGTTACTGGAGCCCGCCCCGCCCCCGGGCCCAAAAGTAACCCAAGGCAGCTAGCTAGCTGCCCCTGGCGTGCCACCGCATCGCAGGCGGTCCACAATTTAGCCCTAACCCATCAGTGTTCGCTTTTTTTATTTGCAAATAGCAAACATGGACTAATTAGCTGCCCTGTAATTTCCCACCAAACTGTGCAATTAGTTTATCTTTTATCTATATTTAATGCCCATGCACATCGCATTCGGTCCACAGCTTTTTAAATTAAGATGAAACTAGACACGCTGTTAGCTATAGCCCGAACGATCTGGGCAAGCGTCAGCAGCCAACAGCCAATAGCAACAGGGACACTGGATCAGGCCGGCAGAGAATGATCCATACGACGGGCACGGCGAAGGGCACGCACAACCACGACCCATAATTAAGCTCTCGCTTACCGGACATGATGTGGTACTCTGTTTTACTGCTGGGACTGGGAGCGATAGAGCTAGCTTTTTACCACCGGATATGTAATTACGTATCCGCCTACTTTGTTGCAGATTTTTTTTTATTTTTAATACTTTTTAAACTATTTTTAAATCTAACATGGTTATAATTTTTTTTCCAAAACTAACACTTTTGTCCGCGCCTATTTCCATGGCGCGGCGAAACGCCTGTGTCGCGCCATGCATAATGGCGCGGCGAGAGGAATGGCGTAGCGCTGACCGGTGTCGGTGTTTCGAGTAAACACCAACTAGTAAATTTATATTTGTTGCGCGTTATGCCCGGATGGTGTGCAAAAGGACACAAGGTTTATACTGGTTCGGGCAGAATGTCCCTACGTCCAGTCTACTGCTGCTCATGTTATTAGCACCGAAAAAAGTTCGTAGTAGAGGGTACAAACGGTCGAGAGAGGGACATGTCCCAAGTCTCTGATGGAAGGGTCGAAAGGATGCCAAGAGCTCGGTTGCAGCTTAGCTGTGTGTTATGTGATGTGTTGTGTGTGGAATCGATCCGTCCCCCTAGCCGAGTGTCCTGCCCTCCCTTTTATAGAGAAGGGGGAGCAGGGGTTACAGATGGGAGAAAGAGGAAAAAACCAAAGGTAGAGACGGTCCTTCGAATGCGTCGGGTCTTCCTTTTTCCTTGAACCTATTCTGCTGACATGGTAGACCATGTCAGGGATAGACACGTTCGCTGATCCTGGCATGGCCGTGCCCTGGCTTCGTTTCAGCAAGTGATTACGTCCCATCCCACCCCGGCGGATGGTGCGGCATGTCGGGGTGCCGAGCTTAGACCCTACGGAGAGCAGACGGGGAAGTGACTATACGTCTGTAACTGTAGATGATGCGAGTTCTCTCTTGGATTGTAGTGGTTGTCGTATGCTTATGTCAGGATCCACGTTCGAGGGCTGATGGCGGCACCCACAATACTGTAAGACAAAAGTCGGCGCCTACAACACTGTTCGGGCTCTGCCATGCCTGGAAGGGCTTAAAGCGCCCGTCCCATCGTATCCTGACGGTACTTTCCTGCAGACGTGCAGGGCATGGTCCTTGGTTCTGTGGTTGACTTGATTGTCATGTCTTACCCTGTGTCCGTCATTATGAAGGAGCAGGGTGCAGTTGTCGGACGAGGCGGAGCCAGACCCAGGACGTCGGGTGAGACGGAGCCTGTCTCGGGATGTCAGGCGGGGCGGAGCCAGCCCTCAGCCGTCCAGCGAGGCAGAGCCAGCCCTCAAACGTCGGGCGAGACGGAGCCAACCCTCAGGGGTCAGGCGAGCCGAGGCCCGTCCCTGGTCGTCGGGCGAGGCGGAGCCAACCCTCGAGGGTCAGGTGAGACGGAGCCAACCCTTAGGGGCCGGGCAAGGCGCGGCCAACCTCTGGTCGTATGGACAAGAAGTGCAGTTGCGTTCTTGTCTGTTTGAAAGCATCAACGTTTGACGGTTATTAGCTTCACCTTATTGGGTACCCCAGTATTAGGTCCCCGACAGTAGCCCCCGGGTGATTCAGATAGAATCGCCTGGGGGTGATTTGACTTGCCAGAGGGTGCGCGCGAGCGCACCCGATGGGTGTAGCCCCCGGGTGATTTGGATAGAATCGCCCGGGCGGTATTTTGGACCCTTCGCGGGTATGGCTATGAGATTTGGTGTTTTGACAACTAGATAGTTTAAAGGGAACCTTGGTATCCTATTCGTGGGGATTCGTCCAGGGTCAGCCCAGTTGAGACTCAATCGCGGATCGAGACTTCATTGAGGTTCGTGTGACTGAGTTCTGTCCGCTTGCGGGTCCATCCCTCGTTGGGACGGCCGTCGAAATTATTAGGCCAGCCCTCGAACTCCTAGGCCCGGGCGGGCCGGAGAAATGGTTCGAGACCCGTATCCCCTCTGTGGGGAAAGAGTCCTATCTGCCCAGGAAGGCGGAACGCCCGACGCGACTTTGGTGGGAAAGGATAGGGATTGCGGGTGCATATCCCGTGATGTGACGTGGTGGAGTATCGTGGCAGGCACAGAGATCTAGGAGGACGGTTGCCCTTCTCGCATCCGTCGCCCCTATAAAACCAAGGGGTTCGCCCCCAGGGTCCTGTACTTTGCCTTCTCGCCTTCGCATCTACAACTTCGGCCGCCAATCACCTGAGCCTCCCACAACCGCATCGTAGCCATCGTCAAGCTTGCATCCACCCCACTTCTAATCTTCCAATGGAGTCGTGGTGTAGATCTGATATCACCCTTCAGCGCCTGGAGGGCCTCGTTCGTCGTGGCCTCCTTTGCCCGCAGACCGCCGCCGAGGAGTGGCAGCTGCCCGGTGATGAAGATGTGCTGTCGCCGCCCGAAGGTTATGTTGTGTCCTTTACTCGCTTGGATTCGCCACCCCTGCCCACAAGTTCCTTTGGGGGCTGCTGGATTACTACAAGGTGGAGTTGCAGCACCTTACTTCCAATGGGGTCCAGCACATTGCGACGTTCGTCGCCCCGTGTGAGGGTTCTTGGGGATTAGTCCCCACTTCGACCTATGATGGTATCTCTTCGCCGTCAACCTTTTGAAGAAGCGGGTCGGGAAGCAAGAGCTGAGCGTGCCGGTGGGATGTGCCAGCATTCATCTCCGCTACAATTGGGTGAACGAATACCTATCGATGCATCTATCGACCTCCAATAAGGGGTGGCATTCGCATTGGTTTTACGTCAAGGACAACGTTGCTGCCCCCTTGCCAGCGTTCTTCGTGCGCATCATCGAAGAGGTCCTAGAGTCATGGAAGTGGGGTGTCCTGGACAAAGACAAGAAGAAGATCAAGGACCATCTCGCCGCCCTCCAAAATCTAAAGGAGAGGGGCGTGAAGGGGTCAGGGATCATTGGCGCCTACCACATGAGGAGGGTGGCGCCGCTGATGGCGCGCGCGCTTCCCATGCACCTGATGGCGCCTGGAGCGTCACTCGTAGAGACGGCGCTTGCCGAGGGAGCACTTCCCCCCTCTGAAGTGGCGCAGCGCATCAAGGAAGCGATGGAGCCCTTGAAGGACGGTGTTGGCGCCGCTCTTGACTTTGTGTACCTAGTGCCGAGGCATCCCCCAATGTGGCCGAAAATAGGGTACATTGACTTTGTAAGTTCTCTTTCCCCGTGCCTCCTTTTTAATTGAACTTCTGACCCCTTGGTGCTGACATTGGGATAGCGGGACCAGCCGAAGAAACTTGTCTTTATGGATTGCCCGGCCCCGCTATCAAGGACAGGTTCATGGCGGCAGCCAACCGCACCATGGCCGAGTGGCAGAGGAAGACCAAGGAGTTCGAGCGGAAGAAGAAATAGCAGAAGCAGTAGGCACGAGAGCGAGGAGAGGAGACAGACAGCGAAGACGACGACGATGATGTGAGGTAGCTGTCGATGTGGTATGGGATGACCTGGAGGGCGAGGATACGCTGACAGGTACCCACTCGTCCATGCAGGGACCCTTCCCGTTTCATGTAGGGGAAGTGAGTCCATGAGTCTGGCGGAGACAGGCCAAACCATCGGCCTGTCCTCAGGACCGATGGGAGCGGACCGATCTGCCACCGCGCCGGGTGCTTGTGGAGGGGGGTGGCTTCACTGCTACCCCAAGAGATGATAGGGGCGGGCGGATCCGCCACTGCGCTCGAGGTGCCGGCGGAGGGGGGCGGCTCCATTGTCGCACCCCAAGATCTAATAGGGGTGGGTGGATCCGCCGCCATGCCCGAGGTGCTAACAAAGAGGGGTGGCTCCGCCACCGCATCCTCGGAGGCAAGGGAGATGAGCCCTTCTGCCTGGGAGCAGGGGGCAGGCTCAAAACTGTCCCACCCAGACGAATTGGAGCAGGAATCCGAGGGTTCATCCCCAAAACATCCCTATCGCCCAACAGTGCCAGCGTAAGTCACCGATTCCTCTATTTTTCTACTTTTCAGTGTGACCTATGCCCTTTAACTCTTACAGAGTCTTGAGACAGGGCTGCTCTTTGGCGCTGGCGCCCAAGAAGAGTGTTGCTCTTTAGGCGGGACAGGTGCCGTCGCCCGACGTCGCTCCTGTTTCGGGCAGGAGCGGAGCCGATGTTGTGGCCTCATTGGCGGTCAGGCGT